ACCACCAACCTTTCGGTTAACAGCCGAACGCGCTAACCAATTGCGCCACAGAGACTTCGTTGAGATTAATCTAGTTTCCATTGATCAGATATCGGTATTCTAGTAGTAGATGATGATGTACTTACTCGGTTCTATATTCTCCCACAGAACTTCGACGTATTGGTTTCTATCAGGTCTGGACTGTTCGTGCCAAAACCCTGAAGCATGGAGCATCTCGTGTTGAATAGTTCCTTTGCTATAGCAACCGCCACCGAGAGACAAGACTTGGAATCCTTCTGTCCAGTACTTCTTACCCACACTCGAAAAACACCTATTACAAAATATTATTGAAAGGTTGACAGAATATAAAACATTCTCATGATTCAATGTAGAACGTTACATTACCCCCTCCCCTCCCCTCCCCCTCCCCACCTCACCCCTTTAAAATAGAGCAGGCACGTCAGAAATGAAAAGAGCACCTCGATGTTAGAAAGAAAAAAAATTTTCAGCTTATAGTGGCGATTATATAAAAATGCCATTAAATATCAATTGTATAAATATAAATTACATAAAGTTTAATTAGAGATGAAAATCAAGTATGTATGAAATGGTTTTTGCTTAGTGTTTGCACATCCTTACCCGTCCCCCTTGACAAACTTCACCCAGTTCTTGTCTTCGCTGCGTTTCGGGATCCACTTAAGACATGAATGCGTATTGAATTCATTTATAGCATCTTGGAGGATTGACGATTGACCACCTTAAATTTGAATTTAAAATGGAAAAAAGACGTTACTGCACGAAAATTTCTTTTCAGGACAGTTTATCTGCCCGCTGAATGAGATTAATACAAACTAAAGGGCTTTCATTTATAAGGGCACGGGGGGGGGGGGGGGGGGGGGATAAAAAAAATTTAGGGGGTTGTGGTTTTTTTGGAGAAAGTGGTTAGGGGGTTTATCACACATCGAGGAGGGGGGGGGGAGAGTTAAGGTGATGAAAAGAGGATTATGCAATTATTGCCTCTACCATGGGGGGGGGGGGTTAGGTTATGTTTGAAAAGCTTCCCATGTGATTCTGCCAACCCCCATCCCCCTACCCCTACCATGTCCTAATAAATGACATCTAGCCCATTAAGGAGGTACCGAGTTGGGGCACCTTACCAGATATGGCAGGGTCGATCTCATACGGGACAACTCGTGTCTGCCATAAGCCCTGACGTGATCTTGCTGCGTTTCGTTTAACAATGTTTCCGCTTGGCCCATCCACGTCACCAGTGTTCCTCGTGTCCACGTGATCATGGTCGGTTAGAACAATGTCAGCTTCAAATAATCTTTTTCCTTGGTGTCCTTAAAAATACATTAGTAACCGAAAGCATATGATTTCTACTGATTAACAAATGTATTCCTTTGAATATTTTTTTTGAAAGCTTGGTACTATCCAACTAGTCAATGGCTCTTTGTGGACTTGCAGTTTCGCGCGGCAGCCATGCATGATATATGGCGGCAGCTGTGATTGACTTTCCTTGTGCTTCAGGAGTAGTTTTAACGGGCGCAACTGAAAGTCCTTTATTCTAATTGCAATAAACGCTGCGGTGTTTTGAAGGGTCATTTTATGACTTTTACTTATACTAGATTACTTTGCATTCTTTGTTTTGTATGATAAAAAAACTTAAGTGTTATTTGTTTTTCGCCCTCTTAATTGCTATAAATGCCTAATACATTATGCAGTTTTGATCACGTATCATTATCTTGAGTATTAAAGGCGGAAAGAAGTAAAATGTGACGGAAGTTCGGCAATTCCCACGCTTTAAACTTCCCTGGCCCCCGTTTCTTAAACGATCCAAAACCCACTCAATCGCTAGTTGTTGTCGTCATTTCCGACGTAAAGTATGAGACAACTTCTCGTTCGTCTTACTTCCTTCCTGTTGCCTCAAGGTCTATTGATTACTTCCAACTAAATGTACTCAACAAACCTTTATTTATGATAGAAATCTTATCCAGTATGGTGAGTTCTTGAATGTTGGGTAAAGTTCGCTTGAAGTTCTTGCCGTCGATGGTATCTTCATCTAAAATATATGAAAGAAACAGTTTATAGGAATCCTCTTTTTTTTCTATCAATATTAAATCCTTTTTTTAGGTACGGTTAGTGTATCTATAGATACACGACTAGGCATTGACTTCAAGATTTTAATCCCAGTAATGATTACTAATTGGAGAGCACTGTTAACAAAAGAACCATACACCAATGCAAATCTCTTGGGAGTAATACAGGTGTCTGTTTTAGCGGCATTGGTACAAGAAATGGCAAAGTGATAATGCGTTATGTAACCGTGCAGTTAAATATGCTATAGCTAGTGATTACTACCTGGTTTCAGGTAGACCGTTTTGCTTTAATTATATTCTACATTACGTGTACATGTTATATTAGTGCTTTAAAAAAATAAACAATGGTGATATTATGTGCCAAACTGGGTATTATGCCGTTAACACAGAAAACTCTATTAAAGACAAACCTTATGATTTTGAAAATCAATTTTTTTCCCCAAGCAATTGAATATCCAAGACAGCATCACCAAGCAATTGTAATAGCGGTTTTGCGCAGACAGTGAAGAGAAGATACGTCATACGTATATATATATATATATCAGCTAGGGATTAGACCTGCTTAAGGAGAGATGTCTATGATATTTTTTGTTTTTGTTCTGTTTTTGTTTCATCAATCTTTGGTTTAGCTTTAAAAGTTACTAAAACATAGCGCATAGTCTAGAATAAATATTAAACAAGTGAAATGAAAAAAATCAACTAAGCAAATGAAAAGTAAATTTTAACAACCAAAAATCTAAGTCTGAACAACCGAAAGAAATAAAGCTAAACAAAGACGTCTTATTAAAGAAAGTTCTGATATTCTTTAAAAAAAGCTTTCATAGCTTTGGGACAATCCGCTAGGAATACTTGAGAAGAATGAAATATTCGTCATTTACCTTCAAAGCTGTTGAAAAGTTTGTGGATTGGAGTTCCTTGGCAAAAATGAGCCACGAACACAAAGACCAAGAGAGAAGCGAACTGCATGACTGATACCTACCCTACCTTATACTGAGCCTCCTCAGAGGAAAAAAGTAGGAATGATATGATCTGACCAGTAATATATACATGTGTAATATATACAATAGTATCAGCAACGGTTCTGATATGCTGAAACAGGCGCGAAACGTGACGTAGAACAAAAAGATACAACAAATGAAAGCTGGAAGCCAAATATTTAAGCAGTCCATGAGAAGTGAAAAGCCTTTCTAAATATCTGATTGTGTTATTGTCATTGTTTTTGATGTGGGTTATTTGGGCGTCATTGTTTTGTTTAAGACGCCCGCTTCCTATACTGTGTCTACGTGGCTGCAACCGTCCACACCGAGCTGATTAATGTCTTCATTGAAAATCAATAGACTAAACAGAAACTGAGTAAACCATCTTTATTAATGTCCGGCTGGAGCCTTGCTCTTCAAAGACTAAGTATTTTGGGTCTAATTAAACGTCAGATGTTATATAAGAGAAATGCTTTTAAAACGGGGTACTAGCTTCTTCATTCAATGCCATTTACACGGAAGAGGTTACTTGATCTGTAAAGTATCGGTCACGTTAAGTGCGACGTAACGGTATCTTCCCATTAAAAAAATATCGTAATTCAGGATACTTAAGCACTTCACTACATCGTTTGGTATTCCCCCTCCGTTTACTTATCTTTCATTTCTGCATTTTTCACTCATTCGTTCTTTTATTCATTCATTCATTCGTTGCTTCGTTCGCTCACTAAAACCATAGTTAATGGAGCAGAATGGCTTGGAAACTCCATAGAGCAAAGCTATTGTTTTGCGTTCGATGTTGAACCGTACCGTCACGTGATACTGATCGTGCACGACGAACCAAAGCAAGTATGGCTGAAAATACTCATTTCCTTATTATTTTCATGTATAAACATTTTGAAAGTGAAAACTTTCATTCGATGACCACTAACTACGTGGATAAATATTTCCGCGCAGATACAGTTAAGTTACTAGATGATAAATGAAAAAGCATGAAAAAGGAAATTTCTTTTTCAATAAACAGTTTGTATTAATCATATAGGATTAAACAAATGATAAGTATTTTAGAACGTTTTTTAGGGTTAAAAATTTCTATATTCCCGAATACTATGAACAAATTAACGGAGCAACTTTTCCTTCTCTGTGCACCGTCAACGTCATATAACAATGGGTTTCCCAACCATTTCGCTCTATTAACTATGCTAAAACATTCATTCCCTAGTGGCTAGAAAGAAATATCCTGATCCTGACCCGGCTACAAAAGTAAATAAAAACCAATGTTTTCGAAGACAGTTATCCCACGAGAAAGATAAATGTGTCTGTGTTATTCTTGCGGATAAAATCAACGAATACACATTGGATGAAGAGTATGAATATTGAGATGGACTTTATGTCAATAATTTGAGTAACTTTTTTTTCCCTATTCCATTCATTTTTTTATTAAGATTTCCTTCGAATTCTCTATTTCTCTCTGTCTGACTTTTTTTCTTTATTTTATCAAGCTCTAGACTGACGTAAGCTTTATTTTCGATTCTCAGTTTTAGATATTGTTATCATTCCTCTTAGCACGTTTGAGTACCGACCGCCTCCACTGATATCCCACAATCTGGGGGTATGAAAAAATATAATTTCTCTCTCACTCTTCGAGCTTTTTGCCACTAAACATCTGAAAAGTACGTTCAATCACTGCCTTTACTCAAACTAATAAGTGGCCAACTCCCAGTTCCGACTCGGACAATAGCAATCAAACCATTCACCTTTGCAGCTGTTTTCGAAAAGTGGAATTAAAAAATTTCCCACAAACAACTACGAGTTGAGTACTAAGAGGAATTGATAGTTAAAGAGTACTACGAGGATTGAGAGATAATTTTTTGATCAAATATTTACTGAAATTTTGAGATATTCTAGATAATTTGTAGAGCTTGTGGGATATAGCAACGGTAATTAAGGGTAGTCGGAACCAATAATCAGTATAGTCCTTGAATGTCTTTCACTAAACACCCAAATTAGTCAAAAGTTTCTTGGTGAACCGTTTCAAGCCGACCATGTGGTGGATTATCAGAGCCGTGTTTAGTTCCATTAGTTTGAGCTAATTATATAAGAAGATTTTTTAAAACGATAATTCAGTTTTGTGCTGGAAGCCGGTTTCTATTAAATTAAACATACTTTGAGAGACAACAAAATGAGATGATTACTGTGTGCAGTATAGGATATTCTCACCTTGCTGTTCGTGATACATCGTCCGTGCCTCCATCACTGTGACAATCATCACCGCCAAGAAAACCAAACGTGTTACAGCAAACAGAAACATCATTATCACCCGGAAGCAATCTGTTACCAACCAACAAAACAAAACATGAACTGACTGAATAAAACCACAGCTACGAAGAAGTTACGCTCAATCCCTTAATGAAACAGTCCAGTGAATAATGTGAACTGTATCTTTGGAGAAAGAGAAAAAAGGTGCCTAGGTATTGCTCGTGGCATGCGCGCGCATTTAAGTCCTTAGTACTGACGTTATTGAATGTTGTCACTTAGTAAACGAAAGGTTTATGTTTGCTTTGGACTTCCTGATTTGACTATTTTAAAGACATTTATCGCAATGACAGAGGTAGATTTTACCATCAATCATTCAGTTGTATTTTACGATTTATAAGAGTTGTATGCTGATAAATCTCGTCATTTTTTAACGAAAATCCCAGAAAGAGTGTGAGAAAGACATTTTCAAAAAGCTAATGATACAGTTTTGATTCAGCTTAATTGGTCGGTGAAACCATCGAAGACTGAAGATTTTATTTCAGGCAAACATAAGCTTAGTTACTACTGGATACTAACTATACCGAATAGAAAATACCAAAAACACGCGTTTCGATTACCAAGAAACACTGGACGAAAAGTAAACTTGGTTAGCTATTTATATCAGCTGGATTACGATTATGGTAAAACTAATAGTCTTTCTGCTAAAAGGCTCCAAATACATACTCTTGAAAGCTATTAGAGATTGGTAAAGAGTGTGTTCAGCTTACTAATGGCAATGGTAAAAAATAAACTTAAACTTTACTAATAATAGCCAGTAGCTTATGCTGCTAAATATGTTTTACATACCGCTTGAAATTTCAACTTTTAAGACCTCGACTGTTTCGATTCTTCGAATTTTCTGTGTTTGCAAATATCAGAACGCGAACGGCGCTATGAGTGTTTGTGGCACGCTCAAACATTCAACAGACTCGCCAGACTTCCAACAGAGTCTGATTGTTTTCATAACGGTTTCTTTTAGAAAACTGAAAAAAATTAATTATGCTTAGAATTTGAATTACTGAATTGATATGATTTTAATATACATATAACGGTCATCGTATAAAAAACATGGCTGGTCACTCTACTTTAAAACGTAATGAAATCAGCAAAATGTTTTTTATAAAACTAACCGTAAATTTTACACTTCACATTTGAAGAACAATAACTCTTAATAACATTCATTATATAAGGGAAAAAAATGACTATAATAAATAAAAGAGCAGTTAATACAAAACGACAGGACATGCAACCTAACGGTTAATTTCTCAGTATGATAAGGATTTGTGGAGACAATAGCCTTCGGCTCGTGGTTGGCTATCTAATACAACACGGCCACTCATATTGTATATATTACATAATATTCTGCTTACCGTGAGTGGACGCGTTTGAAGTGTGATCGAAAAAAAACCCACATAATTAGTGGCAAAAATAAGTTTCTTGCATGTATTAATATCAAATCCCTTTTATTCGTGTTTTAACATCTTTTGAACGTTTTTTGACAGCCTTTCAGTTTTTTTAGATCAAATTGGTCTCAAAAATTAAACGCATCTTGATTATAAGAGGTCTGAACGATATAGAAAAACAAACACAAACGTTTTTTTTAAGGAAAAAAAGTATATAAGACATTGCCACAAGCATCACACTTAAACATATCGACCCAAGCGACTTTGCACATTTTACTGGAGCTAGGAATAAGTATATAAAGGGAAAGAGTAGTAGACCTTATGGATATAGGCTCAAATAACACGGGCGTATTCTTTACGCATCAAACACCCCATTCTAATCACGTTATCGGTATTCATCACCAAGTTAAGACATATCTTCGTTGAAGTAAAAAATAATAATACTGAGCCAAAAATGATGACGCAAGTCGTTTGCTTGTCTCCAGCAGCTGTGATTGGTCGTTACCTTGACAACCTTTAGCGTGCTTGCTATTTCAAAAGTTGAAAATGATCGATGACGAAAGGGAAAGGTAAGAAGACAGCGCTGCATTCATAAAACACTTTATTCTTGGGACAACAAAGGATTCTTAACACTTTAAAGTTTAAAATTGTACATGCCCCTCTCATCCCTCCCCTCCGCATTCTAAAAAGGGCAAAAAAATATGACTCTCTTGTGAGTTTGAATTTTGTTTAGTTTTGGTTTAATTAGTTGTTATTTTCTTTTTAATCAACTATATCTTGATATCCTCAGTCACAAGGCTGTGAATGAATTTTCTACGTGATAGAAACAAAGAATTCTCATGTTCATATAAAACAAGTGGTATTTACACGCTACACGCACTGAGACTTGATCAATGCATATTGAGACAATAAATATTATAATTTTGAATACAACGAAAGAAGGCGGCGCTCAAATTTTTGTTCGAGATTTCTGCAAGCCAAAAGAAAGACACACAACAGAATGCAGCTTCAAGGTCTTATCTACACACTTCTTGTGTTTTTCAACGCTCTTGTCTTAAACCTAACAGCTCCTGTGTATCTGGAAGGTAACTATGTTTCTTTTATTCACCATTTGTGGCGACGCAAGGCTTTTAATATTAACAAAATAGACTTTCAACAGAAGGTTAAGCAGGTTTTATATGAATCTCATTTGAGCTTATTAAACGCATACATACAAAGGCAATAAAATATAATTCTACAGTCCAGTACAGTTTATCACTAAACGCATAATTATGCGAGCTTTAAAAGCAGTTCAGCTCTCTTGCGGTACATTATTAAGGGTTCGCGTGACTACTTGCGTGACTATGAACTAGTGATTATATAATAAGACCTTTGATATTTGGATTAATCAAATGATTAAATGGATGGTTGAAAGAAGAAATTTATAAAAAATAACTGATTAAATGGATGGAAAAATGAAAATATATTATTTTTATTCTTAATTACTACTTATAGGAGAGAAAGTTAACCTTGCTGAAGATGTCATTCCTGTAAAATTAAGTGCTGCTGACGTGATCACTGCTATCAATGAAGGTATCAATGTAGAAGATTTTATACCCATGAATTCTTTTAAACAGTACTTGAAAATCGAACTTCAGGGTGTCCATCCACATCTATGTTTAAGCGGGAAAGAAGCCATGCAGGGGCTGACGTGAACATTGTACACAAACGACAACAGCATGTCTCTGCACTGAGATATAAACACGTAGCTAGAAGCTGTAGAGCACGAGACAAGCAAGCTTAGGAACACGAACATGTTTATATTACAGTACAGAGAGTGACATAAGAAGACTGTTTTCATTGCTTCTATAATTTGTTTTTTAAAGAACGATTTTGCGCGAGCGTGCCTAGCCTCTGTCCTCTGATATAAACACGGTAGACAGCCAAACAGCGAGAGCGTTACACCTCAAATATTTTATCCAACCAATCAGCACGCGCGTTATACATCAAATATATTATAATTTATTATATAAACCTTGTTCACAGAGAAAGACCAAAATTTCTTTGAGGGAGATATCGTGCTGTCGCAGTACACAAGACAAGTGATCGAGGATAATGGCGGAAGCAGTCGCGTTATAAGAAGTGTACAGCGATCCCGCAAGACACTGTGGCAGACGAAAGTTGTGCCATATGAGTTCGACATTACAGGTTAGTATGAATTCAAATCATGGTGGTGGAAGGTTGTAGATGGTGGTGGTTGTTGCCAAGTGGGGTGAAAAAGAGATGAGGGACAGATTGATAACGAGAAGACTGGGGATGAGGAAAAGACTGGGAATGAGAAGGTGACTGGGAACGAGGAGGGAAGAGGGAGGAACGTTATCCATACTGAAATTCAGTTTTCTATCTTCTGTATCATTTTTGAGAAGAAAAGTTGAATGTTTCAATAAGTCCATTTTATACTTAATTTGCAAGAACGAAGCGAATTTCTTCTATGCATATATGTTAAATTGCTTTTAGTTAACGATCTCCAAAAAGAAAGAGTCCGGGACGCAATCGATGCCATTAAAGGTATCTCTTGTATTCAATGGAAAGTAAAAACTAATGAGAGCAACTGGGTGAGGTTTGTAAATAAATCAGGGTGAGTTTTTTTTTAACCTTCGTCTTTAAGTACCGACGCCAAAAAAATTAAATTTGCTTGTTCACTGACTGTTTTGTCGCATCCGTTGTTTTCAGATGCTGGTCAGCGATAGGAAAAGAGTTTTGGCGGGAAGGAGCTCAGGAGATATCTCTAGGGGATGGCTGTAAAGACAAAGGAGTTATAATCCATGAGATTCTTCACAGCCTGGGGTTTTGGCACGAACAGTCCAGACCTGATAGGAATCAGTATGTGGAGATTATGTGGGAGAATATTGAACCAGGTGATAAAGAACATTTTGAAGCTTTGAATTCGTAAAAAATGGGAAATGGAATTTCTATCCTGCTTCCATTTTTTTCTTATTTTCTACTTCTTGCTAAGGCTGTTTTTCCTTTCCTATACCCTAAGTTATCATTCTGCAATGGAGTCAACCAAAGGGTGTTCCGACCACTGGTTAAAAAATGTTTTTTGGACCCCTTCCATTGCTTTTGGATCCCTTCCATTGCTTTTGGATCCCTTCCATTGCATATACGTATATTTCTCTTTCTCAATTTGACTTCCCAACTGTCTATCGCCTAAATCTTTCCAGCCCCATGCCATATGCTATCAGATGTACTTGTTTGATTCTGTTTGTTCAAGGAAAAGAGGACAATTTCGAAAAGTACTCCCACGGTGAAATCGACAGTCTGGGGTCTACATATGACTACGATAGCATCATGCATTATGGGAAGTACGGATTCAGTGCCAATGGTCAACCGACCCTTCTTGCTCTTGGTGATCCAAGTAGAGAGCTGGGACAACGGGAAGGTCTCAGTACAGGGGACATCCTGAAGCTAAATACGCTATACGACTGCTCCGGTAATTGAGTGAAGATTGAGGTTTTGAAGATGCACTCGGCACTATCTTGGTGTAGAAACCACGAAATAGATTATCCATGTATGTGTGTTCTTACGCTAAGTTATTGCCCTGCGCACGCAATGCACTGCTTTTCTACGTTGGACCATGTTTCATAACATTAACATTCTTAGTTATTATTTTGACATATATATATATATATATCTTACCAATAATTTCAACAACAAAAAAAATTGGAATGCTGATGGGATTCGGAATGATAAGAAGTATGTTTATAAATGACAATTACTACTTATCTTTTAAAGGCCCAACAGGTGGCTGGAGCTCTTGGAGCTTGTTCACACCCTGCGATGAAGCATGCAATCAGTATCGACAGCGCTTCTGTACCTCAGTAGACAAAAGGTTGGCATGTCCAGAGGCAGATCAGTATGGCATCGAAACAGATAATAAAGTCTGCGCAAATGAGACTTGTCATGGTAAACAAAGACTGCATTGCCTTTATTAAAAGCCTTCTCAGGGTAAATGGGAAAAACGTCCTACCCATGCAAAATTGAAATCCTTTAATGTTGTGTTAACAATGCAATTATTGTTTATAGATTAGCAGCGTAAATCATTTTATCAGTAAATAATTCACTCATTACTAAAGCACATTCTAATGTGATAATGGTGTATTTAGGGTGATTTCATGATCCCTAGGAGGGTGGTTGTTACCTAGAAATCCAGTATAGCTTCATTTTTAGATTTGCATTATTCTTTATTCTTATCTTTAGAACTCCAAAAAATAAAGGAGGTTGACAGCCACCCAACCTCTGCATCCGCCTTTGAATCATTTTACTTCAAAATTACATGAAGAATAGTTTATAAACCTTTTGAACTGTGCATAATGCCTCTAGTTTTCCTTATTCCAAAACTTACATCAGTTTATGATTTTTGCTTGTAGCACCAATAGATGGTCACTGGGGTCGATGGTCAGCCTGGGGATCTTGTAGCGCATCTTGTGGGGAAGGCAATCGAACAAGAACTAGAGAGTGCAATGACCCTCCCAACTTGAACGGTGGACGTTACTGTCAAGGCTACGCCAATCAAACAGAACGTTGTCTTATTCAGTCTTGTGGAGTTGGTAAGATAACTGATTGATATCTTAATAATTATCCTACATTATTACTTTTGAAACTATGTCGTGCAATTGAATTCCTCGTGCAGCACGGTTACCATATGAAATTGACGACAACAATTGAACAGAACATTGTGCATGAGGTCTGTGTTCATTCGTATGCTGAGAGTAGGGCGCCTGTGTCATGGCAAGCTACCTTCAGCGTACAGAGATTCACTTGGTGTCATGTGTCCGATGTTTCCCTTACTAATCTCTGAATGGCTCTAAAATACGTGATACAGAATTTTCAAGGAAGTAGAAATTATGGATTCTTTAAAGTTAAACAACTTTCTAGTGTTCTGCGCCTTCGCTCCATTAATTCTCTCCTTCTCAAACACAAACACAAAAATCAAAACCATTGACCTGCCCGTTTGTTTGTGGCGTACGTTTCTTATATGAATTAAGCAATATTCATATAATGATTCATAAAATTATTTGCAAGTATTGTTAATACATGTAATAAGAGAGAAAACGTTTCAAATTTAGGATCCGACGATTGTAACTTTGATGAGGATGAATGGTGTCACTGGAAACATGACGTCACAGGTACCAGTCCGTTACCATGGTATCGAGGAACTCGGGGAACTCCAACTTCTCGTACAGGTCCTTCAACTGATCATACCACTGGAACAGGTCAGTAAAAGATTGATATTATTTCTTCACCAAGACGAAAGTCCACTGTGCGTGAGTTTAATTCTTTGAATTCTTTTATTGAAACTAAAGCTATGAAATAAAATAGGGCCCAACAAAGTTAAGTGCTTTGCCGAAGATGCGATTGAATTTTCTTCTTGGCTAGCAGTCAGCTGTTAACGTCTATTGATTGTGCCATCAGAATTAATTAAGGGAATGCCCCTTGGCGTATTTAGGTGGTAATACCCCACCAACCCTAGTGGAATATACTTCCATCATTTTCCTAAAACAAACTATGCATGCATATATACGTTGTCAATGGAAAAGAAAATATCAACAAGCCTAGGATCCCCTGATAATTCCATCATTTATACCAATTTTTAGGGGGTTTCCTTTATTCCGAGTCATCAAATCCAGTCCAAACTGGCCAATCAACGCGACTCATCAGTAAAGAAATTCTTCCCACATTGAATGCACGTTGCATGCACTTCTTCTATTCAATGTATGGAGAAGGTATGGGAACCCTAAACGTGTATCTAAAGAATCCAATAACCAAAGAACTGGTAAGGATATGGGACACGTCTGGTAACCAAGGTAACCATTGGCAACATGGAGACGTAACCATATCAACTACACATACATACCAAGTAGGTTATATAATATATTTCTCATTTTCAGTCGATTGTCAGTGGTATCTGCATCTGTTTGTCTGTTCATTCTTATTTTCTTGTGCTTTTTTATTATGTTTAACAAAAAAAGTTAACTTGTTAACTGGATTTTTTAAGCAAGTAACGGTGTCGTCTATATGCAAATTAAATTTAATTAAATGACGGAACCTTCAACCCCAGTAAAGGTCGATGAGTCTTATTTTTGTCTTATGTTCTTATCACACCAACAGATCATTTTTGAATCTATTTGTGGTAGTGATTACAGAAGTGACATAGGTCTTGATGATATCACCTTTACCAATGGGTCCTGCAATGATAAAAACACCTCGACGAGTGCACCTACTACATTACCAACAGCAGTAACCACCCCTTCGCCTGGTGGGTCTTGTCATTACTATGAGCATTTTAGATTTACTCACTGGAATCTATTATTAAATAATATTTATTTCAGTAATCTATTTCGTAAGGTACGTTACCTAGAGAATAGCGATTCTGTGACCTTGATCTAGATAGGGCTGTGTCGTGATTCAGCATTGTTCTGATTTTTTGCAGTAGTCTCAGATATTTGCCATTCCGGGGATAATGGAGAAAGTGGGTCTAGTTGGAATTACAGTGCATCGGGGGAACGTATTTCCAAGATGGCGTCTATTTCGTTTCCTAAGACAGCCCCACAATGCACTGCAATGCTAATTCGATCCAGTTTTTACCTCAACTTGGTAGTAGCTAATACTTAATAATAATACGTAATAATACCACTATATACTTAATATTTGTCATATATGTCATATATCTTTTCAGCTGATATTTGTGATTTTGGTGTAACATCTGGAACGACCTGCACATGGTACAACGACCCTCAGAACCCAAGAACAACGGACAACTTCTTCAGATACATGTGGTGGGTACACCGTGGTACAACTCCAAGCAGAGGGACTGGGCCATACTCAGATCACAGTAATCACGGTCAGTTTGTTTACAAGTGTTGGTAACTGGAGTCTTTTTTTCCATTGAGTTCGTAGCATCGTGTCATTAGTTTTTCCCTCTTTATTTTACCCCCTTGCTTGATAAATCTTATTCTCCTTTTATAAGTCTCTCCTATTATTATATCTCTAAAATAATCTATCATATTGAAAGAAGTGGTATGGGTCTTCAGCATATATCCCTTATCATATTATCAACCAAGACATGTACCGAATCCAGCAAAGATAAATTAACGCTGTGATAATTAAATATGGAACCAAGATTTTTTCACCGATTCCTCCTAGAGCGCTAGCAATGGGGGAAGAGCTTCGTAGGAACGGCGAAGAATCAATAGGATTACGTGTTACTAAACTAGTCCATCTCAAGCCCCCAAATCACTCCCACAGTGCTTTGCCAGTGCGTTTTGACTACAAAAATGTTTTAACTAATTTTAAAAACAATATTGATCAAAGTTACTTTATTTGTTTTAGGCTATTATATCTACCTAGAAGCATCCAGTCCCTACTGTAAAGGCATGAAAGCGCGGTTGATTAGCAAGTTGTACCAACCTTCAATGACCATGTGCATGAATTTCTGGTACTTCATGTATGGAAGATCTGTTGGAACATTAGCTGTCTTTATTGACAATATTTCTGGTCGAACCCAGGTGTGGTGGAAGAGAGGCAACCAAGCGGATCAATGGCTTCATGCAGTAATTCCTTTATCGAGTTCTACAGCATTCAAGGTATTTAGAATTTAAAAATTACCTTTGCCTCTCGGTCTTTGGAAGTTAGCTTGGGTGTACGATGTTTCTGTTGCAGGTTTTGGGTCATTTGAACATCTCCTATCTTGCTCGTAAAATTTATTATATATTCATGAGGGAAAAAACAGTCAACGCGCAGGTTTTTAGTCGATCATGTAATCACTATTATAACTACCAATATAGATCATTAACAGGAAACTAATAGCACGGGGAGGTCTGAAAAGTTAGCATGGAAAAGATGGGGTTGATGAATTATTAATTAGTAAATGAACTTTTGATACAGACAACAGCTCGTGCTAATTAGTATTCATTACTTTTGATACAGATCATAAACCTTTCGAGAAACGAATAGTTAAGAGTTAAAGAATAAACGAACTTCTGTCATTTGCACCAAACCTACGTACTATAATATTTATAAATGTTGACACTTTTACTTACCTCCTGTCAGCTTTGTCAAAATATTCATTGCTCCCACACCCTTTAAATCGCTTAAGTGCCGATTGATAACACATATTATCAAATACAGGCTTTTTGGCGGATATCGTTGTGCTTTTTGCTTTGCCACTTCACACATAAACGTACAAATCCAGAAATTCAGCGTGAAGGCGCACACATTTCTTCAAGTGTGTACTGTTAAATCATCAACCCGCTTGCTCATATCCATGTTATCGAAACCTGACTAGGATCAAGCTGTGTTCGTTTCCTTTTTCGCATTTCTTGCCAATCTCTAAGACAATTACTCCCCATTTGGTGTTGTACCTGTTTATTTCTCGGTACAACTTCTGAAAGTAGATATCGTCCTTGTTCCAAAGTCTTTGGATCGTGATATCAACAGCCGCCATCTTTGACGTGGCTGAACAGAGACTGTCTTTTGAGTTATTGCATATGAAAGTCAGGGAATTCCGTGGGGACATATTTGTTGTTTGTACTAAAATTGTTTCGTGAAAAAATCAGTTGAAAACAGTAAAAACATGAATTTATCCCAAGGATTCAGTTCCGCTCATATTTTACATATTGTCACTTTTCTCCTGTTGCTCCAAAAACCCTTTGGTAATAATATGCGGTACAGACACCTTGCAATTAATCCTTACCTGGAAACAAAACATAAATGGAAAACATAACATAAAAAATAAATAAATAAATAAATAAATAAATAAATAAGAATAAATTTAAAAAATGTAATAATTAAAATTAAAATTAAAATTAAAAAATATATATATATTTTCAATCTCAAGATAAAGTGTAGCCGAGGGAATCGAATTCTTTTTGTTTCCCCATATTCAAGATTAGGAAAATATTACTTCTTGGTTTTCAAGTTTCACCTGTTTTTCTTGCAGATAATAATCGAGGGAACACGTGGTTCTGATTACCTTGGTGATATAGCCCTTGATGACATCAAAGTTAGTCACACCTCTTGCTAATAAATTTAAAGGCCTTTACCTTATGTAATTTATATTTTCAATGCAGTTCATATTTCCATTCGTTTCTGTTAACTGAAGAATTTTATGATTATTGTTTTTATTAAAATACATGAATGTAAGCCAAAAATAAGAGCAAATTAAAGTTATTTCGATATTGTTATTATTACAAGATTTTTAAGCTAAGTCACAATTAAAGTCTATATCGTTTTGTTAGCCAGCTTAATTGCTTTTATTTCCCCTCACTGTCAGATTAACGACACGACAGATTTTACGTATACTGTTGATAGCGGTTTCAGTCATGCACGTCAGTCCGCAACTTGACTTTAAAAGATGAATCTCATATCATGTTTGACTACAAGTTCAGCTGTAAAAACAACCACAATATTGACAGTTTGTTTACAACGAATGCTCGATATTATGCATGCAGCCCTAAAAAAATACGAAAAAACGGTGGTCGGAACTATACACATGCATCTATGTACTGTATACGAAGTCGCATGCATGCAGGAGGCCTTTTTGAGATTAAGTTAACGTCGGGTATATTAATTTCAATTGGCAAAGAAACCCTGGTATTTGTGGTGGTGGTCAGTTCAGTTTTATCAAAGCTAAACCAAAATGCACCTTACTTGTAGCCTCATTTGTCTATTATATTGAATACGATAATGATACCTCCAGTTTCCAATAAACTTTTAGCGCCGGCCTAACCTTCTACAATTGACATTGGTGATAGAAATTAGCATGTTATCTGTGAGTTTGAATCGTGTTGATTTTCCTTGATGAATCAATAATACATTCTGTCAGCGCTGTTTATTTTTTGGCCTGAACTAAGTGTCAACAATGTACTTTTCTTGCCCACACGTCCTTAGTCGGGATTTACATCTTGTTGACACTTTGGTACTTTAGCACTAGCGCGTACTAGCCTTGAGCTGAGATAAGATTTTTTGAGAAGAAATTGTCTAACTTACCCGGTTTTACCTCAAGAGAACGGAAATATTCGATTGCACGTTAAGTCATCGCGGCCATGTTGGTGGTATTTAACAAAATATTTCTCATTAACATTCATAGTCAATACCACCAAGATGGCCGCCATATCTTTGTCATTTGAATCTCGTGGGAATGCTTTCAAATCATCGATTGATATTCAGTTAGTTTTGTAAGGTCATGGCTCATGGTTGGTTCGCATCTCAAAAATCCTAATCTTCCAATTTTCGTGTTGATTGCTCAGGCATGGAATGTTCTGGATCACAATGCATGGTCGGTTGGTTTTGGGGCGAAATAATTTGACCACCTAACGAAGCAAGCATGTCAAGTGCAATTGCTAGCACAATCAAAAAAATACAATTTTTGGTTCCTATAATTTTGCTATCATGGGCCACAGTCAACCTACATTTAGCCAACCTGTGAAAGAAGAAAAATGGGATTAATGAAAAGCTCCAAAAGAAAATGTATTATTACAAGAAATGTATTAAAGCTCAGTGAAAATGATTATAACTAACTTTAAGAAAACAGGATCTTTCATGCAGCCTCAACAGCAAACACTAGAGGTTTCATGTTTACAGCTAATAAACATTACAAGCACATGTCAATTGAAACTGTCTATAGAGATCGTGGGAAAACATATCTGTATTAGTTCCTCCTGACACCTGCGTCTTGTCATTGGAACGGAATAGATCTGTACGAGGAAATATAACATCTCCCAGATTAGGGATATTTTTGCATCTCTTCGGACAAAATGTCCAGGATTCTTCTACTAATAGTTAGTTTTCTTGCTACACAAACCTTGCAGAATCCCGTGAAAAGCAAAGATAATGGTATGTACTTGAATTGACCTATACTGATCATGTATCATTGAAAGTTGAAATTATCATTTGTGAAACGTGATACTTTTTTGACCCCATCCTTATTATTATTATTTTTTTGCTATGAGTTATTACGTCAATATAATAATAATAAATAATTAAATAATAGCTAGCTGCCCTTGTTGGTGGTATCTTTTAAGTAAAAGCTTAAACGTATATAACAAAAGCTTAAAACTATACCACCAACAAATCTAAAACCTCAAAACTTTGTAATATTCAATTCTTAGGACACTAATCAAGATTTCCAACATTTTATATTATATGATTATTTTATATGAATAAGTTTAAAGCCTCAACACTTTGTAATATTCAATGTTTAGTACACTTAAGTCAAAATTTCCAACATTTTGCATTAATTTGATTGTCTTATTATTTTAAGATCTGCTCTCAGCTGCCACCGACAGGATCATTGATGCTAATGAAGGTCTGTAAAATATCTTCACATGTTTATTTCGATAATGTTACGTCAAAGAGAAAACATGATCATGTTACCTAAAGAACCAACTATTGCTCAATTTTGAACATAAAAATACTAATAAATTATAAGCTATTCGATTATCGTTCTAATAGCTGAAGATGTTGACTCGAAGCTGTTTGAAGGGGACATAGAGCTGAGTCCCGAAGACATGCAGCAAGCAGATAACAGAATGTCTAAGAGAAATGCTCAACGAACACGTCAAAAACTATGGAGAACGAAAATCATACCATACGAAATAGACAGTGAACTTGGTGAGATAAAGGATATTTTTCATACATCTACCAACCCACCAACCCACCAAACTAACCAATGAACATGCCAACCAACCAACCACTGACCAACCGACCGACCAACCAATCCACCACCAACCTACTTCTCTACGAACCTTCATACTAATTTTTTTCCTTCTTTTTCTTTTTCTTCTTCTTCTAATTAGTGTTTTTCCTTACCTTCTCATCGTAGTATTTATTGATTTATCCCTTCATTATTTCGTTTATTTATTCAAAAGCGGTTAATTACGAAGTGGACTAAATCGGTTTTTTTTTTTAATGCAGTGAAAGAATCCTTTGAGGAGCAAATCATGGCATCAATAGAAGAATTCCATCAACATACTTGTATACGTTGGGTTCGACACACGGTTCAAAAAAACTGGATCAAGTTTATCAAATCTCACAAGTAAATATTTTCTTATTCTCTTCTTTCGCATACCCATAATACTTTGCGGCGTTGGGGAGTAACTATATATAAAACCACTCTTAGTTTACTGAAGGCTGGTAAGACAATATTGATAATACCTCGTTTGATATCCAAATTTGAAATAAGACGTAATAAACATAAAGAGATATAATATAATTTTGAAGAAGATTAAAGCAAATTTTAAATATTTCTTCGTAAGTTAATAAATTTCCTGCAACACCTTTTGATGTTCTGAACGAACTCAGAATGAAATGATAATTAGTATGGTAGAGATAAAAGCAAGCATAGTATACAGTCAATTGAAGAACGCTTTTCATTTTGGGACAGTGTTTTGATTGGTTACCCCTCAGAGCGCAAAGCAATATGCGAAAGTAGGATGAGATATCCCATAGAATATTTGTAATAATGGCCAGGTATTGCTGCGTTATCTTCGAAAGGCAAAAACAGTCGTCCCTGGGTGGGCTCGAACCACTAACCTTTCGGTTAACAGCCGAATTCGCTGACCGATTGCGTCACAGAGACTTGGATGACGTCAATCTTGTTTCCATTGATCGGATATAGGTCTTCTGCTTATAATCACTAATGTTATCTTCAAAAGGCAAAACGAATCGTCCCTGGGTGGGCTCGAACCACCAACCTTTCGGTTAACAGCCGAACGTGCTAACCGATTGCGCCACAGAGACTTGGATGATATTAAACTAGTTTCCAATGACTGGATATAGGTCTTCTGCATATAATCACTAATGTTATCTTCAAAAGGCAAAACGAAACGTCCCTGGGTGGGCTCGAACCACCAACCTTTCGGTTAACAGCCGAACGCGCTGACCGATTGCGCCACAGAGACTTGAATGACATTAATCTAGTTTCCAATGATTGGATATAGGTCTTCTGCTTATAATCACTAATGTTATCTTCAAAAGGCAAAACGAAACGTCCCTGGGTGGGTTCGAACCACCAACCTTTCGGTTAACAGCCGAACGCGCTAACCGATTGCGCCACAGAGACTTGAATGACATTAATCTAGTTTCCAATGATTGGATATAGGTCTTCTGCTTATAATCACTAATGTTATCTTCAAAAGGCAAAACGAAACGTCCCTGGGTGGGCTCGAAGCACCAACCTTTCGGTTAACAGCCGAACGCGCTAACCGATTGCGCCACAGAGACTTGGATGACATTAATCTAGTTTCCAATGATTGGATATAGGTCTTCTGCTTATAATCACTAATGTTATCTTCAAAAGGCAAAACGAATCGTCCCTGGGTGGGCTCGAACCACCAACCTTTCGGTTAACAGCCGAACGCGCTAACCGATTGCGCCATAGAGACTTGGATGACATTAATCTAGTTTCCAATGATCGGATATAGGTATTTTGCTTATAATCACTAATGTTATCTTCAAAAGGCAAAACGAAACGTCCCTGGGTGGGCTCGAACCACCAACCTTTCGGTTAACAGCCGAACGCTCTAACCGATTGCGCCACAGAGACTTAGATGACATTAATTTAGTCTCCAATGATTGGATATAGGTCTTCTGCTTATAATCACTAATGTTATCTTCAAAAGGCAAAACGAATCGTCCCTGGATGGGCTCGAACCACTAACCTTTTGGTTAACAGCCGAACGTGCTAACCGATTGCGCCACAGAGACTTGGATGACATTAATCCAGTTTCCATTGAACGGATAGCGGTCATTTAGTAATAATTACTAATATTATCTTCAAAAGGCAAAACGAAACGTCCCTGGGTGGGCTCGAACCACCAACCTTTCGGTTAACAGCCGAACGTGCTAACCGATTGCGCCACAGAGACTTGGATGAATATATATTAAGTTTCTATTGATCCTATATCGCGATAGAATTTTAATATATTCTTAAACTTGGCGTATTAACATAACGACTTTTTTTGTCACGGCTTAGGTGTTCATCTGCCGTCGGTAAAGAATACTGGAGTGAGGGTTCCCAAAAAATTTCACTAAATGACGGCTGTAAGAACAAGGGAACGATACTCCATGAAATGATGCATGCAACAGGATTCTGGCACGAGCAATCACGCCCTGACAGGAACAAATATGTGGAGATCATGTGGGAAAACATTGAACCAGGTACGTATAGACCCTTTTCAAATGAACCACTTTGGCGATGCGGCGGCGGCCATCTTGCCAGGGGCAAAACAAAACAGAGATCACGGAAATTATATAGAGTTTCGTGTTTTTGTCTTTCTTTTCTGGATAAAGGTGCTCGATGTACCGTTTTAATTTATCTTTTGTTGTATACTCTATGTACATCAATCGACGTCATTACTGTAACAAAGCTTTATTTGTCGACTCCTGGACGCTCAATAATGCCTTGCAATCCAAGATGGCCGACGTATTGCCGAAGTAGTCCATTAGCATCACTTGATAGATGGTTTGTAATCTGCAGCGTAAGGCCGCAGAGTATTCTTGAGTTCTTGTGTAACATTTTGCAACATCGTATTCAATCACCAATGTTTTTTTCTGCACCACAGGCAAGGAAGACAACTTTGACAAATATGACCACCAAACTATAGATGATCTCGGTGTTCAGTACGACTACGAAAGTATAATGCATTACGGGAAACTCTCATTCAGCACTAATGGCAAGTCTACGATTCAAGCTGTTGGGAATCCCGATATGGAGCTGGGACAACGAGACGGGCTGAGCAAACTCGATAAAATAAAGCTTAATGCTTTATACAACTGCGAAAGTAAGTCACTTCACTGAATTAGAAAACAAATATCCTTAACTTTTGCATTTTAGACCACTTTAGCTTAGTCGACGCTATCGACGCTAGCAAGCATAAGCATGATAAGGATCACTACATACGCAAGCGCCATAGCACTTTTTTTTAAAGATCTTAACCTTTAATAACATTGAAATACTGAAATATCTGATCATTCAAATTTATTAGCAAGTCTCTGTGGCGCAATCGGTCAGCGCGTTCGGCTGTTAACCGAAAGGTTGGTGGTTCGAGCCCATCCAGGGACGATTCTTTTTGCCTTTTGAAGATAATATTAATGATTATAAGCA